TTCAGCTGGTTGCTGTGCTGCTGGCTCACCTCAGGTGAGGATTTGGCTCGTGTCCCACTGGCAGGATGGGTGATACTCCACGTGCTTTCCCCAAAGAGCTGTAAATCTCGTAGCTCATGTGCTGCATTTCATCTTCCATCCGTTAATGCTTTCTTTGCTGGCTTCCTCAGCAGCCAGACTCTGGCCTGGGTGATGAGATGAAATAAAGAGAACTCTAAGTGTTATAAAAGGCAGAACTAGACTTTCCCTTAACAGAGTCATTTTGCAAAGCAGTTAATTAAACCACTGTCCCTGCAAACCAGGTGAGACATGCTAAACCCAATCCACCAGAAAAGCACAAGAGAGGAAGAAACCTCCCTTAAGATTATTCAAACTGGATCCAGAAAAGAGCCCAGGTGCCCAGAGACCTTTTCCCCAAACCTGTTTTAAGTGCCCAAACACACTATTAACACTTATTCCATAGGAAGAGACAGCCAAGAACAAATGCAACTTTATGGCTTGGAGTCTGGAGGTCTCTAATAAGCATTTAATGTCCAATTCTGAAGTAGCTGGAAGTGCAGCACAGGACTGCTGCCTGTTCAATGGATTATTTAATCTGAGCAGTCCCCAAAAGAGGGGAGAATGCAGCATCTCTGCCTGTCCTGGGTGTGGGAATGTGGCTCTCCAGCTCCAGCAGATCAAATAAATCATGAGCATCTCACTTCATAAACAAACATCATCAGCCTGTTAAATGCTGCTGGGGAACAAAACAGAGGAGTTGAATCTCCAGCACTGACAGAAATGTCTTGTCCTCTAGTTTTGCTGGTTTGTGTGTGCAGTGCCTCCCGAGGGAGTAAAGCCACCCTACTCCCAGCAGCTGATTTGGTTTTCGAGGAAGGTTTGCATGTGTCTGATGGATGCTGAGTGTCCTGGCAAGACTCTGTTTTCAGACTTGAGGATCTCTGACCTGTTCCCCAAAGTCCTGCTGTGCCTCTCCCACTCTTCTTTCTGGCAGGAAGGAAAGCAGCATGTGAACTCCTCTCTCCCTTGAGAACATGAGGTAGGTCCTGGCCTGAAGACCTACAGAGCAGATACCCCAGGTAGAAAGCTGCACAGTGGATGGACCCTTCATCAGCCTGTAAGTCTCCTGGGGCAGAAAGGTAATACAGGTCCTGGTCCTGCAGCATCCAAAGGGTTCAAGGACAAGCCTAGGAAAGTCCTGCAAAATGTGCATGAGTGGAAGGCATCTTTCATTGGCTGGATTTGGTTTTCAGCTCTTATATCCAACCAGATCACTGGAATTCCACACTGCCTGTTTAAGGAGGGAGTCTGTGGCCACAGCCACCCTGCATCACAGTAGCACTGTCCACCCATCACAGCTCTGCCCTTGTTGTACAGGGGGAGATGAGGCCCAGATAAGACATGAGCTTCTTCTTTCTCACTCAGGCTTTGTATTTATTCTTTCTTTCACCTGTAATAAAACGTAGCCAGGGAGAAAAATAGATTTTTCTCTAACTGTGCAGGAGGGCATAAAAGAGTAGGGGAAACCCAGCAGGTTTTGCTTTTGTGTCCCATCAGATAATTCTGGGTTATGCACAAGATAAGATGGAATCACTTAGAAAAAAAAAATGATAAAAGCTGGGATTTCCAGATCCGGTTTCTGGGTCCAAGGGACCAGTTCTAAATGCAATCTCAGGTCTCAGCTCCCAAAACATCTGAGTGCCTGCCTCCTACTGAGGCCCACACACACCTGGATTCCTTTGCTCCAAAGGTCTGGAGCACATGTGATGGCAATGGAGTGGGAGTGTGGAGATGGAAGGAGAAGCCTCTGCCTAATTGACTCTTAGATGTGCTGAACACAGCGTATCTCTGTCAAATTCAGATGGAATTGATGGGACTGAAAGCTGCTCAGATGAGGACAGGCACACCCCAAATTATCCCACTGTATCAACCTGCCTTCCTTGGGATCCCTGGCTAAAGGGTATTTGCAACACCCAAGGGTGGAGAGAACAAGAGCCACAGTTTCCCAAGCCAGCTCTCCCAGGACCTTCCAGCACTCCTGTATTAAGCAGATGTACAAGCCAATGACCTGCCAAAATTATCTTAACCTGCCCCCATCACCCCTGTGACAATTGACGTCCCAAGCTGGGAAGTGCAAGGTTGAAAGTGGGCACAGCATTAGGCAGGTTATTAAATTAATAGTGCATTAAAGAACTCAAGGGAGGTGGATGGGAGGGGAAAGGGAAAGACAAGGTTTGTAACATCACAGAAATATCCTGGCTTACCTTCTGGCATCTTCAAGAGACTGGAAATGTGGGACTGCATCCAGCTGCCTTCTCTGGGGCAAAATTCCTTTGGCTTCTGTGGGAGGTTTTACCCAAATAAGGACTGCAGGATCAGACCTGTTATTGTCACTGCAATTAACATTTAGATCCACATCTAACACGAACTGTTACAGGCTGGTTAGGGAGAAATTTAATTTGCTCTAAACAGCTTGATGGGAGAGGAGCGTGAAATGCCCTGGTTATGGTAATTTCATGTGTTGGAGTCTACAAAGGTGGATGTTCAGCCCTGGCTGTAATAACCCTGATATCTGCTGCAGCCATCGAGCTGAGTGTGCTTTGGGATGCTGGGTTTGGGGCCAGATCTCCACCCGGGTTTGGTGGTGGACACGCTCACAGCCCTAAAGGCCTTGGGCTGTTCCGACACCCACGACTCGAGCAGTGGGGTGGGACAGGCAGGTGAGGGCCCAGCTCTGCCCCCAGGTGTGTTTTCCCTTATCAGACACACGAGCTTTAGTTGTGTATCAGGAAACTGATTTCTACCTTTGTGCTGTCAGAGTTCATACACAGTTACCCACAATCTACAGTTTTTGCCCCACCGACCCACTCTCGGAGACTTTGAACCTGCTTTTTCTAACAGCCCACAACTTTCTTTTATATCCTTACGTGCTTGCTTTCTTTCCCTTCTCCCACAGGAGTTAATGCAACTCAGCCTTAAAAACTGACTTAGAGATGAAACTTGGCATTTAAAGGTCCCAGCCCGGGAGCAAATGAAGTTACCAGTTATAAACACACACCAAAATCTGTTTGGACATGCTGAAATTACAGGAGCAGAGGATAAAAAGGATCCAAGATGTTCTATTTTGTTTTAACTTCTGCAGCTCCGCCTGAGTGTCAGTTTGCAGCCGCTTTCCTGACGCAAGATGGGTTCTTTTGGTATTTTTATTCTTCTCGTTGGAATTAAAGCTGATGGATTGCAACGCATCTGGCTGTGCTAGGGAAGAGGCAGCGCCCTGAGCTGGTCTGCACCGGCATCCTGGGGGTGTTGCCAGCTGTGTATCCCTCATCCAACCCTCTGCACATGGGTCTGCCCCGAAGGAAGGGCAGGGTCTGGCGCTGGCAGACACTCACAGAGGAGTTGGAGGAGAAATCCAGGTGTTAGGGCCTTTCCAGAGCCTCTCCTGTGTGGCTTTTGATACTCCAGTGACAGGTAGGAGATAGAGCGATAAGTGCACGCAGGTGATAGACAGGGATACAGCGATGGAAGATAAGAGGCTGCACTTTTATAGGAGGAGGTGATAGATTGCTAATATTTATGGCACGAGACGCTCTGCCAGTTAAAGAATAAATCAGGGCAGATAAGGCCAGATCCACCACACAAGGAGGTGATGGCTGGTGGTGGCATCACACCAGCGCCTGGGAAGTGATGGGTGCCCCGACTCTCACAGCTACCCCCTGATTGCCCCCAACCCCACTTGCTGCAGGAGGGCTGTGCTCTGCACTGGGAGCTACCTGTGCCAGCAGAACCCCCCAGCAGCTGTCCCTGGTGTCATTCCAGCCTCCCTGAGTGACTGTGTTCCTCCCCACTGTGTGTGAGCAGCTGCAGCGTGGACCCAGCCTGCTTGTTATGCATGTTACGGCCAGGGAGAGTGAGGGTCGATAGGATGTTTAATATGCTTCATGCATAGTGGAGTCGCTTTGGTCCATCAAGTCACTAATACACATTCTTACAGGGCTGAGTATCATTTATTAAACCTGGAGGCCTGCCGGGGAGGGGGGGGCCGGGGCTCTGGGAGGCAGCCAGCGGTGCTGCTGGGGTGGTACCCGCGGCGCTGAGGAGGTGAGAGTTTGCAGACGAACCGCACACGCACAGAGAGTTATTTGTTGTGCCTCATTTATGGGAAATGAAATAAATCGTGCTTTGAGCGCTGGCTGCCGTGTGACACACCCCGGGGATGGGGGACAGGGCTGAGGGGTTCACTGGGCTGCTCGAGGGCTGGGGGCAGCTGAGATAGCTCAGCATCACTTGAGAAGCCCTCTCTTCTCTCCCTTCCTAAGGCTGCCACCACAGGACTACACACTTCCTTTTTTTCCTCTCTTTTTTCCTCTTTCCCCCTCTATTTTCCCTTCTATTTTTCCCTCTCCTTCTCCCCCTTTTCCTTTTTCTTTTTTCCTCTTTTTCCTCCTCTGCTTTTCCCCCCTTTTACTCTTTTCCTTCTCTTTTTTCCCTCTCTCCTTTCCCCCCTCTCTTTTTCTCCTTTCCCCTCCTCTATTTTCCTCTCCTTTCCCCCTCTTCTTCTTTCCTCTCCTCCCCTCCCTCTCCTTCATTCCTCTCCTTTTGCTCTCCTCTTTCCCTTTCCTTTTCCCTTTTCTTTCCTTGCCTCTTTTTCCCCCCTCTTTCCCCTTATTTTCCCTCCCTCTCCCTTCTTTTTTTTTTCTCCACTTTATTCCCTCCTCCATCACTTTAAGGCAAAAAAAAAAAAAAAAGGCAGCAAAAAAAAAAAAAGGGGAAAAAAAAAAAAAAAAAGCCAACCAGCCCACCCCACAACCAACCAGGCTGTCTCGGCTCTCCGCGGGCCGGCGGGGCCGGGCGCGGGGCGGCGCTGCTCGGCTCGGCTCGGCGCGGCTCGGGCGGGCGCTGCGGGGCGGGCGCGGCGCTCCCGCTCCCCCCTGCGCGGGCCCCGGCGCGGAGCCGATCGCGCCCGGCGGAGCCCCGAGCGGCGGAGTTACATTGTTGGAGTTTGCCACAACTCCGCGGCCTCCGCCGGTGCGGGGCCGCTGCGGGGCTGCAGCCTCCCCGCCGCCGCCGCCTCCTCCTCCTCCTCCTCTACCTCCTCCTCCTCCTCCTCCCCCCCGTGGGTGTTTTTTTTCCCCTCCTCCCCCTCTCCCCCCCGCTCTGATTTCCCTCCCCTCCGCCCGCCCTGCCTGTGTGTTTTCGCCGCCGCGCTCGCCGAGCCCCTTGGCATGAGTTAAGCACCAGCCATGGACACCAAACACTTCCTGCCGCTGGGTGAGTTCTGTTCCGAGAGATTCTCCCTTCCTACCGCGGGGGGTGTGTGTGTGTGTATGTTGGGGGGGGGGGGTGTGTGATTAAATACGATAAAATCAGCTCCTGACCTGCCTCCCCCCACCCCGTTCTCCGCTGCCCCTTCCAGCGGCGCGCACCGGGGGGCGGCGGGCGGGGGATGCGCTCGCCCCTTCCCCGGGCAGCGAGTGCGGGGCGGGCGGGCCGCGGCTCCAGCCCCTGCCCCCGGCCCCGCGTTCGAGTTGGCATTTTTGTTTTGTTTTGGTGGTGTTTTTGTTTTTGGTTTTTTTGTTTTTTGGTTTTGTTTTTCTTTTTTTTCCCGCAGCCCGGGGGGTGGACGGCGGGCCCCGGGCGGGGCAGCTGGGCCGGACCGAGCCCGGCTGAGCCCCGGTCGGGCAGCGGCCGCGGCCCCAGCGGCGCTTTCCAACGGGGCAGCGGCAGCCGGGCTGGCCGGGAGAGCCCCCTCCCCGCCGGGGGCCGGCTCTGCGCAGGGCTCGGGCAGCGCGCAGCCTTTGCTTCCCCCTCTCGCCTTCCCTCTCGGTTTATTTGGCTCTTTAATTTTTTTTTTTTTTTTACTTTTCTCCTTTTTTTTTTTTTTTTTTTTTTTCCGTCCTCTTCCTTTTCTCCCTCTCTCCCCGTGGCATCCGGGGCGCGCAGCCCGGGCAGGGGGAGGCAGCGCCCGCGGGGACCCCGCACCGGCCCCTCCACTCGCATCGCCCCTCGCTGCCGGCGCCCAAACCCGCCGCGATTGGGACCCTCCTGCCTTTTTTTTTTTTTTTTTTTTTTTTTTTAATCCCAACCCTCCCCCCGCTTCCTTTTAGTTACATTTTAAAACCTATTTCCAGTTGGAGTTTGCCATCGTTTCGGTGACTGAGTCAAGTCCTGGCTTGTAAGGGCGAATGCCTCCTGCGTCTCGCTTCCAGGAGAAGGGATATTGCAGAGCTCAGTGCTCGGGGTGGGGGGAAGAAAAGTTTGAGCGAAGTCGCCTGGCGCCAAGTCCGGGCGAGGGGGAAGAGGGACGAATCCTGCCATCCCTGTCCCTGCTCAGCACGGTGGCTCCCAGCCTCCGGCTGAGCGAGCCACGAGCAAGACTATCCTTCTGCCTTCTCTGGGCTTTAAATCTGTGCTCAGCCCCTCTAGCCTATGGTGGTGTGTTTTGTTTGTTTGTTTCCTTTTGTTTTTTTAATTTGTTTTTTGGTTTTGTTTAAGAACTGCAATTTCAGTTGTTCTTTTCTAAAAGCAGAATAAATATAAACACCATCTCAAGGTCTCCAGCAGGCCTGGCCCCCCCCCCCGGAGGATTTCCAGGGCTGCAGTGGTCTGGGGGCTTTGGCAGGGAGACCCTGGCCCTGTGGGGTGTCAGGGCTTCATCTGGCATCTCTGTGCCCCCAAAATCACCGTTTCACAGTGCTCCTCATTGACTTCACTGGGAGGTGGGTGATGCTGCTGGGTTGACTCACCCAGAGTTGCTGCTGGGGCCAAAAGCATCTTATCTGCAGCGTGTCCCGCAGTGGGCCCTGGATCCAGTGCAGGTGTTGGGGCTCATCACTAACACCCACCCCAGCAGAAGGTGCCTCTCTTGCCACGCTGAAGTGGTTTAACCTTAGTGGGGTGGCTGTTTGGAGGATTCACATTTCCTTTGAAGCTGTTGTGGAAGGTGGTCCAAACCTCTGTTGATCCGGGCAGGATCAGGTCTCTGTGTACCCGCATTTTCTGTCTGTCCTGAGCTCTCCTGTTACGCTGTAGATGCTAAATAATATGTTGTGTTATTAGTCAGGTTGGCTTCGAGGGGGAAGGTGGGGAGCATGTGTCACTGCTGGCTCGGGTAAGGGTTTTCATGCTGGTGCAAAGGGAAAACAACTGATTTATCTTCTCATTTATAAATATGTGTACCGTGGGGAGAGGGTGGGTCTGTGCCACACACTGTGCAGCTCACCAGGAGGATCCAGAGGGAAAACAAGGCAGCCCAGGAGAGTGGGGCTGGGCAGGTTATAACTTTCCATTGCTGGCTCAGGAGAAAATCCAGCTGTCTGTGGGAGCTGTGTGGGGTGTGTGGTCTGAGTTTGTGTCCATTGCGTGTTGTGCTGCTCTGGAAGAGACTCTTAAACTTTATCCGCTGGTCTTTGGTCACTGATAACTGCGAAAAAATCACTTTGGTTGTAAGGACAATGGGTTCTGCAGGGTTTGGAGGGGGAGATCTTGTCTCTGCTCTGGGCAGCGGAGGCAGATTGCGTCTAAAAGCTTGTGAGCAGTTTGTGGGATTGAGGGGAGCCTCGAGGAATGTGATCAGAGACCTTCCCAGTGAAACCTAAGCAGAGCTGGAAGGGCCTTGGTGGGGTCTTGGTGGCTTTTGGAGATGGGATGGTCCAAAACCTGCCAGGCCCTGACTTTGCAGAGTGCCAGGGTGTTTCACCAACCCCATCCCATGGCTGGGAGCTGTCATTGGCAAGCCAAGGGGAGAAAAATAGCCAAGCCTGTGGAGTGTGTTTCCCTGCACACCAGTACAGGCCTGAGCTGGAGAACAGGAGCAACTGGGCCAAAATCTGGCTCTGTTACTGTACCCCCATCAAAATCTCATCTCAGTGTGGCCTGAGAAGGCCAACCTGGTGGAGGTTCCTGGCCAAGTCCTGCCTGTGGTTAGACTCAGATAACCGTGCTGATGTCATGGGTGGAAGCATGGCCAGCACTGGGCACTTTTAATAGTAGTATCTCATTTTCCTGCTCCTCTGGAGAGCTGCTGGCAGATGCCAGCCAGAGGCTCCCCGTAAGGACAGCACGTCCCTGGGCATCTCCTGGGCTGGCTGCTGTCATCCAGTGGCTCCGTCTGCTGTCCCAGTACTGGGACAGCCTGCAGCCTGGTTGTGGGATCTGTGAGTGCAGGTACCACCACAGCCCTGGTGAGGCTCATAAACACCTCAGGGTTCAGCAGATGCTGCCTTGGAGCTGCCTGGAACTACAGATCTGCCTCGACTGGGCTTAGCATGATCGAGGGTGTCCTGCTTTTGTTCCTCTGGGGGGACTGTGTTGTGCTGCGTCTCCAGGAGGATGAAAATCAAGAAAAATCTGTCCTGCAAGTGCTTGTAAGGCTGCAGGGATCCGCCTCTGCAGCCTGGTGGGGTCTCTATGCCCAGGTCAGGCTTTGGGGGCTGATGTGCAAACCAAAGGACTTCAGGTGGCTGCTTATTCCCGAGGCTCTGACCGTAGCAATCCTCTTATTGCTTTGTTTTCTTCTTTTCTGTTCCCTTAAGAAGGTGATTCCTCCTGGGGAGGAAAAAAGGAGGTGGTGGGCTCGGGGAACCCTCCCTTGAGGCTCAGCTTCGTGGGGGGAAGAAACAGTTAATGGTGCTTCTCTCCTGGAGGTCAGTTCACTGGGTTATAACCTCTGCAAGTCCATCTTCCCAGCCCTGCAGCCGTGCCAGGGGCGGCTGCAGCTGCTCAGGATGTGGGGTGAGAACTGGCCGTGCCGGGGCCGGGAACGCCTCCGAGGAAAACTGCAAAAACAACCCCCCGTGTCCGGCTTGGCAGGGGACAGCCCGGGGTGTGGGGGCTGCTTCGGGGTGGAAGAGAGCGTGGGAGTGTGGGTGTCCCATCAGGCACCTCCATCCCGCGTCCCACGTGCCCAGGATGAGCCTGGATGCCGCGCAGAACCCGAGGCGCATCAATGGGAGCCTCTGTCTGGGTTGAGACCTCACCACGATCCTCGTTTGTGCTCCGTGCAGCCTCAGAAATTTATGGCTGATGTGAAAATCCGTAGGGAGGAAAACTTCTGTGAGATGTAGGGAGGGTTGTGGTTTGTCAGAACATCCCGGTGAGGAAGGAGGAATCCTCTGCCCCACGTCTGGAAGGTGCTGGTTGGCTCCGTGGGGCTGCTGGGCTAAAGCAGGGCCTCAAAAGATAAAGTCTAGTTGTGTCCTGGTCTCTCTTGCTGAAGCCTTGTGTAGGGCTCGACCTCTCCCAGTTGACATATGCAAAACGAGCTGGGAAGGAATTTCTGCCTCTTTCAGAATCTGGGCTGTGACAGTGAAATAAATCCTCCAAGCGCCCCTGAGTTTACTCCACGTCATCCTGCCGTGTTGGGGAGAGCATTTGTGTTTCTCAAATTTAGGGCATTTTATTTATTTAAAAGAGAGCGGGGGAGAAAGCCGCAGAATTTGAGTTATTCGTTGCAAATATTATTATTGGCATTTTGCTCCCGTTGAGGGGAAAAAAAAAATCAAGGGGGCAATCAAAACATTTCACTGGAAAATACACCCTGGCTTCGTCCCACCCACATCTTGGAGGCGAAAATAAATATTTATTGAGAAATGGGTTAAAAACCTTTTTGTTGGAGCATTGTTTTCTGGGAGCAGGGGTGGATTGCCATATGCCAGAGCCCTGCCACCCAGCTGAATTTTGATTTTTTTTTTTTAGTTGTTTTTGCAGGATGGTTGAGCAAAGAAACAAACAGAGGAGCTGTGGGTGCTGCGAGGCAGGGGCTTGGGGTGTTCTTGAGTCCTGCCTTATCCACCAGGGTGAGGATCCTGGTGCCTTTTGGGGAGGGATTGTGTGTGCTCAGGGTGTTCCCCAAGGCTCTTGGCTGCCTGAAATCACCATAAATATCCTGTGAACCCACTGTGGTGAGACAGCAAGAGGTGGTGGCCCTTGGCAGGGTGATTAACTGAGAGGATGGTGATGGAGCAAGGACGCCAAGGGACTCCCTGTGCCCCATCTGGGCTCCTCTCCATGGAGCTGTGCTGCTGGTGACAAACCAAACCCAGGGATACCTCAAATCACTGCAGGCCAAGTATTGCAGAGACCTTCCCTGCGAGCCGGGTAACCTAATTGGGCTCTAATTAATGCTGTTCTCTGGCTCTGATTCCCAGTGTCAGAGCCGTGATCACCTCCCTTGGCGGGTGAAGGAGCTGGGTCTCTCCTCTCTCTGACCCCTGGAGTGAAGGGAATGCTCCGTGGAGTGAAGGGATGCTCAGTGGTGCTGAGGGATGCTC